GGAGGAGGAGGAGGAGGAGGAGGAGGAGGAGGCAGTCGACGTCGACACCGATTGTCTTTTCTTCTGAGTTTGTTCCGCGTTTTTGGAGGCCCTCTCGCCGCCGCGTCTGGACGCCGCCATGCCTCTGGATGGGATCCAAGGAGAGAGTCGGAGGGGGTTTTCAGGGGAGATGTTTTAACTAATCCTGAGGGTAAGGGGTCTCAAAATTTTTCCCAGTCGTCTTGTGGTGTTGGGTTCTCGTTTTGAAGAGAGACAGCGCCCCGCGTTCTTCACTCCTCACTCCTCCCCCTCCTCCTCCCTCCTCCCATCATCTCCCCTCTACCCTCCGCATGTCAACCATTTCGGCACACCCCTCAAACGCTTGTTGGCTCCAAAGGAAGCTCCACCGGCCCCAGTGGCAAAGCTCGCATGCGTCTCCCCCGCCCAGTGCAGTGTTGCGTGGCCCATGGGGAGCTCCACCGAAGGCCCGAGTGGCAAAGTTCGCATGCCTCTCTCACCAAGTATAGTGTTTCGTGGCCCATTAGGAGCTCCACCGAAGACGATACCCACAACTGCGGCACTCACAACTGCACATGGTTGGATCCGTCGCCAGGATCATTTTGCTGCTTCTTTTGGTCTCTGGGGCTTTCCCCGAGCCCCAGGGCCGTCAGCATCAGCTCGCGATGGAGCTCTGGTCGTGGCACTCCTCGGGGTCCAGGACCCGTTTCCCTCAGGATGCCTTTCTCTTCTGCCGAGAGGGGGAGCAGGACGCGCGCGGGCCCTCTCCGTTCCGGCGGTGGGCGCCAGGATGCGTTCTGCACCCCTGGGGGGATTCACGATCCTGAAGAGACGGATTCCGGCAATCCGGGCCTCTTCCATGTGGCTGGAGTACAGTGCCGTTTTTAATACATGCTCCGCGTGCGGATCATGTATTAAACATGCAGGGATTTAGTATGAAACACAAGGATGAGTTCATGCATATATCTATTCATAAATTAACCATGTATGAAAATCCCATGTGTTTTGCTTTAATCCTATGTATTAAAAACTGCCCTGTAGATGGGGTGCCCAGGTTGCACCACATCGCTGGTGCACTGGCGATGCCTTGCGACGTGCAGCTCGGTGTTCTCTGGCGTCGTCGATGCCTCGGCGGCGGGCATCGGCGGTGCGATGCAGTCTTAGGTCTTGGGGTTCAGACTCTGCCATCGCCAGGGCGTGTTCCAGCTGCTGCGCCTCTCTTCGAGAGCTATCCCTGGTGGCACGGGGCTGCCCCGAATGCCATTCATGCCTGGATCGTGGCCATCAGGCCGTCGGGTTGTGGAGCTTGCTGATCTAGCCCTCCCTGTCAGAAGCCAGGCGAAGGCTGGCAATCCTGTGGCTGCTAAAACGGGGCTCCGGGAAGTTGTTCTGTTCTTCCGGGGGGCAGCCCGTTCGTTCGCTGAGTGCGCTGAGTTCTACTCCTGGAATTCATTTTCTTTTTTTTCGGGGGGGGAAGACCGTTTTAGCAGCCACAGATTTGCCAGCCCTTGCCCAGCTTCCGACCCTGGTAAGGTGACAGAACCCCTCCTCCACGGGCTTTGCTTAGCCCTTGCAGCTGGCTGTTGGACGCTGTCGCGGCGTGAGGCCCGCCGCCTCCGCGAGCACGCCGCGAACGGTCATGGCCTTTCGTGCGGGCCCGCTCCAGGAGCCCCTGGGCACCCCGTGGGGGGGGGGCCTCACGGCTTCCGCGGGGCTCCCAGGAGGAGGAGGAGGAGGAGGAGGAGGAGGAGGAGGAGGAGGAGGAGGAAGAGGAGGAGGAGGAGGAGGAGGGTGAGGGGGGGTTTCGTTGCGAGATTTTTGTGGTCAGTACTTGGGCGTGTGACGTGCGGCAGGCCCCGTTGGCTTCTAGCGATCTCCAGAGTTCAGATGCTCTCACGCATCGGGCAGTACCAAGCAGGGTGCCCATTCGATTTGGCCCGAAGTGTTGGCCGACCGGGCGATACCAACAGATCCGCATGACACTAGGACGGTGGAGTTGGTCCTGACTTGCCGAATGGCCCCAGGCCCGTCCTGCCACCGTACCTGGGTCGAGCGAGAGAAACCTGCGGTCTCCTGAGGTATGGGGTATGGGCCTCTTCGGGGCCTCTGTGGGACTTCGCCAGGGGCCACTTGGGTGCCTCCAGAGGTCCTCGTGGGTGCTCTCGGGAAATTTTCTTGGCCGCCCTTTGGCGAACCCTGAGAGGTTTTAGAACTCCTTGCCGCCCGGGCGCACGACTGGTGGCGCGAAACGAGACATGAGAAACGAGATAGGGGTGAGAGGGACGAGCCCGATAGGAGATGAGAAGGAGCAGAAGGAGCAGAAGGAGGAGGAGGAGGAGGAGAAGGGGGAGGAGGAGGAGGAAGAGGAGGGATGAGTAGCGGAGAGTTCTTTCTGTAAGAGGGACTGGAGGGAAACACTGTTTAACCTGTGTCGTGTTTCGCGTGCCTAGCCGTGCCTTGGTCGAGCGGAGTGCCGCTTGAAGCCGAATGGTGGTCACGCTCGAAGTCGTGTTGCCGACGCGTGCGGAGGGGGAGACGGACTCATAAGTATGCGACAGTTACAGTGTCTTCCCTTTCGGTCTCTCCTTCTGGACGCCTCAGCTCAGGTCTGCTGCTGGAGGCAAGGTGGTGGTCGTGGACCCCTACGGTGATACGGGCAGCTAGTGAACTACAGGGATACGTAGTGATGCTCAACCTCGTCCTCTCCCCCTCATTCTCTTCTCCCACCATCTCCGCCATAGTACAATTCAGGGCGCTCAGCGTTCACCGCCGTATGAACATATCCTAGGAACATATCCTAGACCAGGCATGGGTCGGGGCTCGGGGCCCGTTCCGGCCAGCATGGGACCTATTCGCTTTCAGAAATGGACCAGATCGCGAATCGGTGGTTCTCGGATCGTGAACCGGTCCACTTCATGATTCAGAAATGGACCAGATCGCGCTCTGGTGGTTCTCGAATCTTGAATCGGTCCACTGCCAGATTGTCGAGACCATTTCCGTTCTGAGTCGTGCATCGGTCCAGCCTGGATCCTGAGCCTGTTCCTTACGGAACAGTTGGGGATTCCTCTGGCCAGTTCACGATTCGGTCCATGATGGATCATTGACCGGTCTGGTTCAGGTTTCAGAGTGGACCGGCCCAGTGTCTACGTAGAGTCTAGAGTGGACCATATCTCTATCTTGTCCATCCTGCATCCTGGATCGGGCCGCCCTGCGTGGGGGCGGACCCGCTCGCATACCATGGCAACGGCATCCAAAAGTGAAGCCCGCAGCCCGAAGCCCTAAACATAAATAAACACGAAACACGCCATGAACCACTCGTCGGGCATTCGAGTCGTACAGTATATGTAGCATATGCAACCCACCAAGTATCATACACAAGCAGCATATCCGTGACGCCACGCAGCGCCGCATCTGGAATAGGAGCGCGCGAGCACCAGCAAAGGGCACACATCGAAGTACAAATCGTTGCGCCGGTCGACGTATCAGCACGAGCTGCACCAACCCGGCCAGGCGCTCCCAGGCGCTCCACGTGCGCAGCGCGCGACGTTTCCTCTCCGGGAGCTGCTGCGCTGCAGCTGGACGCCCTCAGATCCTGAATCATTCCGCCCTCAGGTCCCGAATCGGCCCTTTCCAAGGTCCTGGGTGGCCCCTGGGGAGGGCGGGGGAAGGCCAAGCAGAGCTCTCACAGCAGGCGCACCCAACTACGAAAATGGTGTACTGGCAAGTGCCCCACGGACATGTCTTGCTTAACTGAACGCCCCTGAGGGGGCAGGCACCGCCGCCCCACCTTTTTGGGGCCGTCGTACCGTGGGAGTGGGGGGTCCAAGACGGCGCCATAGACTCCTTCATGTTCGAACAGACGGCCCAGCAAGGCCGCATGAGGCTTCGAAAATGGGGCTGAATGGAGCCCATTGGTGTCGAAAACTACGGGCGGGACAGACGACGCATACGGAGATGGGGAAAAGAGATAAGGTCTTTGAGGGGCCCGCAGGGACTTCTCGGGGGCGCCCAGGAGAGCTGAAGAGGGCGCCACCATAGGGCCAAATGGCTTGAGATGGTCCCTAGATGCTCGCAGGATGGCCTGAAAAGCTCTGGGAGTGGCGTACCGGATATTGCAGGAGGCGAGGTGGAGAAGGAAAAGGGCAATGTAAAGACAGAGAGGCGTCAGAGGGGTGAGAGGCAGCAAATCAGTGTTCCAAGGAAACCTGGAGGGAGTTGGGCAGTTGCGGTGAGAGCCATCTCGACGTGTACCACATACGCGCAAGAGGTATGAGTAAGGCCACCTGCTCCTTTCCATTCTCCAGCTGGCTTTCCATAAGGCTGGCGCGAAGGCCGTGTGCGGCATGCGCACTCTTATCATTTGACTTCTCTGTGGTTCGCTTGTGTCCACGATTGGAGTCGGGTTCCCCCTCGACCTTTGTCGTCGTGACGGCAGGGTCCACCCGCACATCTTTTCCCACATTTACAGCCACGTTGTTGCGAGGGGGTCAGGCATTCCCAGGGGCCCGATGCCTTGGCGATGGCACGTTGAAAGAGAGATTTCTTTTGGAGCTTCATGTGTGTCTCTTGGGAGGCCTTTCGGGTGTTCTGGGCGGACTCTGTGCGGCCCTTCCGTCGGCGTGCCGGTGGCATGCGTGGGGCTCGCGGGGGGGGGGGGTCTTCGGGGACCTCGCGACGTTGGCGTTTGCAGGTTCCGAGCCGCCGCGAGGGGATTCAGAAGGTTTTCTGGGGACCCAAAGAATATACACCACCACCACGTCGATTCCTTCTCTCTCCTCTGTCCAGCGAGAGGGAGGGGGGGAGGGAGGTGGTGGTGGTGTATATTTTTTCGCCACCCATTTTTGCAGATCTCCAACCCAGAAGGAGCCAGAGCGAGCCCAAGAACTGGACCTGTCCTCGGCTCGTGCTCCTCGTCCCGCTTCGTCCCCGCGCCAGGCGCTGCCTCCTCGCGGCCGTTGCGCTTTTGCAGACCTGGCGCCTCTCTCTGCGCGGGGCGCTCGTGCCTGCCCTGCCGCGGCCGCTGGGTACGCGTCCCGGTCCCCGCCGCCGCCGCGGCTCCCCGGCCTCCCCCCCATGCGGCCCGCGCCTCCGGCCTTCCTTCTCTGGTCTTCGACGCATGCCTTGAACTACTTTCTCGCGCTCACCTTTAACTACTTTCTCACCTTTAACAACTACTTTCTTCCTCACCTGTGACTACTTTCTCCTGTACGCCATCAACACCTACCTATGCCTGGAACGCCGAGATCTCGGGCCCTCTCTGGTGTCTATCCAGCTGCCTGCGGCGAGTACCGCCGCCGTGCCGGTCCAGCAAGTCGGCGGCTCTCTTTCGAGGGGGCACCGGAGGCCGTACCCGCCAGGGATGAACAACATGATATTGAGGATGAGGAGGGCGATGCTGAGGTTGATGATGCTGATGGTGATGATGATGCTGCTGGCGATGCTGATGATGGTGATGGTGATGTTGATGCTGCTGCTGACGACGATGATGATCATGCTGATGATGATGATGATGAGGATGAGGATGAGGATGATGCTGCTGCTGCTGCTGATGATGATGATGATGCTGATGCTGATGCTGATGATGATGATGCTGCTGATGATGATGATGCTGATGATGAGGATGAGGATGAGGATGATGATGCTGCTGATGATGATGACGATGACGATGGCGATAGCGATGAGGACGACGATGATCGTTGGGATATCGTGGGAGGCCTCTCGGGTGCTGGTCGCAGGCAGTTCTGAGGCCTCTGGGGGGCCGTCTGTGGGCCTCCTTGGGGCCTCTTGGCGGCCCTTTTGGGGTTTCTTGGGGGCCAGTTGGGGCCTCCTGGGGGCCTCTTCGGGCAGAAGGGTCGATTGTCGGTTCGTGGTCCCCCTCTTGGTGCCGTCTTGAGGTTCCCTTTGGGCTGTCTCGGGCGTTGGCCAGTTTTGGGCCAGTTTGGGCCTCCTGGGGTCCTCTTCGGGCAGAAGGATCGATCGTCGGTTCGTGGTCCCCCCCTTGGTGCCGTCTTGGGGTTCCTTTTGGGCTGTCTCGGGCGCCTTTTGGCCAGTTGTGGGGCCCTGTCGGCTCGTCTTGGGACCTGCTTGGGGGTTCCCTGGGCGTGTCTTAAAGAGGTGTTTCGCGGGGCCGTGGGGCCGTCTTGGAGCGTCGGAAGCTCGAACTGGCGATCGCGATGAGGACATCTAGAAACACCATGAAAATCAATGGTGTCTGCCTCTCTGGGCCTTCTCGGGGCTCCTCTTGGAGCGCTCTTGGGGCTTCTTTGGGGTGGCTTCTCGTGGTCGGGCCTCTTCCCCATAGTCGGGTGGCACCCCCCAGGTTGGGTGACACGACCGCGGGCGGGTGATCCCCCATGTTCGTGTTGCCAACCCACGGTCGGAGGACCCCCCCATGGTCGGGTCACCACCCCACGTTCGGGGTGACCCGCCCCATGGCTGGATCACGCCATGGTCGGGTGACCCCCGCCTGTTTGGGTGGCCCCTCTCCGTCCTGCTCTTCTGTCTCCTCCTGTGGGCTCAATCAGCCCTCCCCCCGCCCCCTATCTTGCCCTCGCCCCCCTCCCCCCGTCGCCCTTTCCTCATTCGAAGTTAAGATTGCCGTTTGTCGTGTGCCATTGGTTTTCTTGTAGTGCGGTTTTCACGTGTACGCGCACGCAGATAAAACTAAGAGCCTGGTGTTCCAGCGTCGTTCGTGTCATTTTGAGCCCCAGAAGACGTACAATTGCTGGTCATCGTTTGATCCTAGAACCCGCGCAAACTGGCGTTCCACAGTCGATCATCAGATGCTGAGCCTCCGAATGCAAGTGAACCGCCCTGTTCTCAATATTCAACATTTGAAGTCCAGCTTCTCCTTTGAACTGGTTTGCATGTAGCGCGGCCTGCGCGCGCAGGCGCGCGTAACATGAAACAAAGCATAGCGTTTCACAATCGACCACCTCATGTTGAACTACATGTAGTGGTTGCGATCATGGGACCGACAGCTGGCCTCTAGAACTCGGTTGGGTCCCATGCGTCAGTCACGGTGTTTCGCGAGCCGTCGTGTACATTGTGTGGGTAGCGCCGCTCATTGAGCATTTGTACAGTCAACCCGCATAGTAAGGATGGGCAACCTTCCCAAGGGTACCCTTGCATCCTTGCCCCGTCGGCCCATCCTTAGCGACTTTTGCTGGCCAACCTCATTCGAAGAACGTTAATCTGGGCCTCCAAGGCCCTTGCATCCTTACCGCGCACCCTAATGATACGGGTTGACTGTAACTTTCTCAGTGCGCTTTGGGGTCGTCCTCAGGGTCGCGCGTCATCGTTCCATGTGGTTTGCTACTCTGGTGGGCGGCAGTGCTTCGAGGGTCGCTCGACGTTATGCGTTTCAAGCTCTCGAGCGTGTGAGTTTCTCTGCTCGAGCCTCCTCTTCAAACACAGAAGTTTCCAAAATGAATCTCTGGAATATCTGGAGGGTTTCGCGGGAATGGTTCGTCCGGTCGCAGCCAGCAGTGGGGGCTTTCTTGGGGTCCCTTGCGTTGTTCGCGAGTCTTTGGGAGACCTCTGCGAACGTAGGGGCTTTCTCGGTGCTCTCTCGGAGCTCAGTTGGGCTTCCCTTAAAGCTCTGTTGGGGTTCTCATGGAACCCTGTTGGGAGTGCCTTCTGGCTCTCGTTCCACCTCGGGGCACTGGAATGGGTTCTGAGTCACTAGTATCAGGCTTCAGCGGGGATGCGGCCAGAGCTTATCTTATGTATGTATGTATGTATGTATGTATGTATGTATGTATGTATGTATGTATGTATGTATGTATGTATGTATGTATTTATGTACGTATGAATGTATGTATGTATGTGTGTATGCATGTATATGTGTGTATGTATGCATGTATGTATGTATGTATGTATGTATGTATGTATGCCTGTCTATATGTATGTCTGTCGGTCTGTATGTATGTATGTCTGTACGTACGTACGTACTTATGTACGTACGTACGTACGTACGTACGTGCGTACGTATGTATGTATGTATGAATGAATGTGTGTATGTATGTATATATGTATGTATGCATGCATGCCTGTATGTATGTATGCATGCATGTATGTATGCATGTATGTATGTATGTATGTGTGTATGTATGTATGTATGTATGTATGTATGTATGTATGTATGTATGTATGTATGTATGTATGCATGCATGCATGCATGCATGCATGCATGCATGCATGCATGTATGTATGTATGTATGTATGTATGTATGTATGTATGTATATATGGTTGTATGTATGCAGTTTTCTAGTAAAGTATATGTATAGCAAAAGTTATTGACACATGAAACACACATTTTGGTTCCGGGGGGCTGTTTGATGGGTGCCGGCGCCATCCTCTTGGAACCACCTTCGGGCAAAATGAGGCCCCCTTGGGCCATCGTGGAAGCAGCGTTGAGCTGCCTTGGGCCCTCTTCGGCGATCTTGGGCTCTCAATGGGCCCTGCTGGGGCGCCACAATTATGCGAACAAGGCCTTCCCTCAGGGCCCAGGTGGTGCGGCGACGAGCAGCTCGCCCGCCCCACGGACCCCAGGGCTTGGAGCCCCTGGGGGGATGCACAAAGCCAGGGCTCGTTTCGATTCCTCCGACTCGATTCGATTCGATTCCGATGGCTTCCGATTCCGATTCGATTCGACTTGGGATTCCGGTTTGGGTTCCGATGTCTTATTGGACGCATGTTGGCCCGCCGATTTCCGCCGATTCGACTTTTCCCGACTCGGCTGCCGGTGTCCGCCGATTCGATTCATGTCGATCGCCGATCCGACTTGTCAATTCGATTCTGAGCTCTCCTGCCAAGTTGGCAGGGAGACCAGCCGCACACCCAACGCTTCTTGTTCGCGGAGCGTCGAGCGACGTTCCACCGGCCCCCGAGAGATCCTCGGAGCACCGCCCACGCTGCCGAAGACGTCGGCAGCGGGAGAGGCGAGGGGGCCTCAGGGTCCCGTACGCATCTCCACCGCCAGCAGGCGGGTGTCGGCAGACCGTCCCGTTGTGTCCGAGTGGTAAAACACGCCCTACATCACCGAACGCGTTCCACTACTCGCAAAGTGCCTGCTCGCAAAGTGCCTGCTCGCAAAGTGCCTACTCGCAAACGTCAGAAAAAACACATGTCTGCTCCGATGTAGTGTATCCTAGATCCCCCGCGGCGGGTCCAGGCCATTTGCGAGCAGTTGCTTTGCGAGCAGTGGAACGCGAGCGTCCAATAAACCTTACCTTTTGGTGCTCCGCGCGGATTCTTGGATCCGCGCCTGGCCCCCCCGGGCGGCGCCTCCGTCGCCGCCCGTGTGGCGCTCCGCGCCGCTCCTCTTCCTCTATCGACAGCGCGGGAGGCGAGGAGCCCAAACGTCCCACACGCATCTCCACCGCCGGCAGGCGGGTGTCGGCGGATCCTCCCGCTGTTCCCAGACCCCGACGTCATGATTTTTTCCTTACGCGACCCCCAGAGGTCCGGACCCCTTCCCCTGGGGCCTGTGTTTCATCCCGAGTCGCTCTTCGATGGTCCCGAAGCCCGGTGAGGGCCCCCAGAGACCTCCCGTCGTTGCTTGCGTCGCGACGCGAGGGGGCCCTGGGCTTGTGGCTGCCACGAGGTGAGCTGCGCCCCGGCCCGGAGGCGCGCCATGCCGGCGGGGCGCGACGGGCGGCGATGATGCGCAGCGAGGCGCCCACCGCCCAAGACTTCGGGGCCGTGGGCCTGGCGTCCGTGGGTGGCGAGGACCGTCTTTCCCGATCCCGTGTCGCCAGGGAGCGTGTAAGTGGGGCCTGTCCCCCATACAGGGGGATTTTCGACGGAAAAATCAAGAATACCCTCGAAATGGTAAAAGAATAATCCAAAAACAGTCTGCGGACTATTTTTTGAGTATTTCTTCACATTTTGGGGGCATTTTTGGGGGTATTTGTATTCTTCGTCGAAAGGTGCTCCGCGCGGATTTCTTGGACCTGCGCTGGGACCCCCTGGCGCGCGCTCCGCGCGCCAGGGAGGGGGGTCCAGCTCAGACCCAAGAACTCCGCGTGGAGCGCCAACAGTTTATGCTTATGATGTTTTTTCTTCTTGTGGTACTTCAGATCTCACCGAGCGCCTTCTGCTACTTGCAGAGTGGCTACTCGCAGACGTCCGAAAAAAATCATAGGTCTGCCTCGATGTAGTGTGTCGTTATTCCTCCCCGGCAGAACCAGGCCATTTGCGAGCAGTCACGTTGCGAGTAGTGGAACGCGCTCGTCTAAGATCATCCTCCCTTCTGCTCCGGGCCATCTTGGAATCTCTCCTGGGCTCTCCTGGGGCGTCCGTGGGCCCCAGGAGAGCCCGAGGTGGCGCGAAGTGGCCCCCAAACAGACCGCACGAGGAGTCCCAAGAGGACTGCACGACCGCCTTCGTCGCAGCGTTGGCAGAGGTTTCTTTTGGGATCATGCCCTTGTCGACTCAAGCATTCAATCGGGCCGTCCCTCTACAGGAGGAATATTCATAGAACGTAAATAAGTAGCCTGATGCCGATTTCTGTACTACTTTTGTAAATTTTTGATTTTGTTTTGACTACTTTCATTTTTTCGTTAAAAAAAACGCCTGTAAGAGGACATGCCCGACCGAAGTCATGCCCTTGTCTACTTAAGCTCTCGGCTCCACTTCCTTTGTGGAGCCGCGTCCGAAGATTTGTGCATTGAACAGGCTCACTTCCGCACCTCGTGGCGCTTTGGATGGACACGTGCGCGGTGTATCATGCCCTGACGTGCTTTCTTGCTGCTTGTTATCCCAAGTTGTTCTGAACAGCTTGTCCGTACGGATCCTATACGCCGCACATCAGGCCAGTCGGCGGCCGGTGGGCGGTCTCATGTTCTGTTGTTCTGCACATGTTCTGCAGAAGCGCAGTTGTGAAAGGCTGCGAAACAAGCATTACTTGTTCAATTTTTCTGGCGCGCGCACAAGCGCGTGCATGTGCCCCCAAATGTATGATTCCGTAGTGCTGTGCGGCACACCAACAAGTTTTCACTTCGTGATGTGACGTACGTGGGATCGTGCTGGGGTTAGGTGGGGTTGTGCAACGAATGGTATTCTATCACTGGGAGGATGGACGTCAGGTCGACACATAATTCGAGACACACATCGACGCATGACGACGCCGGATACAGCGTCGCACCAAATTGTCCGTAAGGGCTTTGCCCCCATGCCGCCGGCCCCCCTCTCTTAGAATGGGTCTTGCCAGAGCTGTGTTGGTATGTCTGGACGCTGACGTGAAGCAATGTCCGGACTCCACGCGAGGGCCAATATTAATTTTCGAGGGCTCATGGCTTCGGGGATGCGAAGATTGCATAATTCACAAACGTGTGTGGCCTCGGGGACGCAACGATTGTACAATTTACGAGGGTTTATGGCCTCAGAGGCGCAAACATTGTTTCATTTACAAGGGTTTATGGCCTTGGGGACGCGAATCTTGTATGATTTGCGAGGGTTCGTGGCCTCGGCGACGCAAGTATGGCGTAGATGGCTCTGGGGACGCGAATCTGGTATAATATTTTGAAGTTTATGGCTTCGGGGACGCGACTGTTCCGTAATTTAGAAGGGTTTATGGCTTCGGGGACGCGAATCTTGCATCACTTACAGAAAGGTTTATGGCTTCGGGGACGCGAACATTACGTAATTCATAAGGGATTATGAGTTCGCGGTTATGGTATACTTTACAAAGGTTTATGGCCTCGGGGACGCGAATATGGTGTAATCTACTCGGGGTTATGACCTCGGGGACGCGAACATAATGTTTCTTAAGTGTCTCACGACCCCCGGGGAATTCAGACAACGCGTTTCGGGCACGCTAGCCAGGACGCTTTTCGGCTCCCCCCCTCGCGCGTTCAGCAACAATTAACAGTAAGGAGCAGGACTGTAACAGTGGAAAGTGGAAGCTGCAACTGGCACAGGGAGCTGCAAGCCTAATTTGGCAGCCTGATGGCCCCGCCAGGGGGCCGGCGGATATATTTTCTCAAGTGCGATGAACATTGTGCCTGTAGAATATAAAGCACATCATCGGGCGTTTTTCGGGCAGGATCCGTCCAGGTGAGGCTCATGGAGGTAGTAAGTTGCACAAGTGATACGGACTGTAACTTAGTGGGCGTGGTATATAGTACGGTTCTGACGGCGCGCGATCATACCCTCCCGCCTGCCCTATAATTACGCTGTCACTCATTAATATCATCGTGGCACGATCATAGAACTCACACCTTCGTAGCCTATCCCAACAAGTCGCATCATACATCTTTTCACCCATGCCCGAGGTAAGAACATACGTACAGAAGTGATGTATAGAGACTTGTTGAGGATCTCAACGCGCTCGCCGAATCGATCCGGAATGTCTTGCATTCATATTTTAATGCGACCATCTCCATGAAGTGAAAAGCTCATGTGTGCATCACGGCGTTGATGAGCATTGCCGCGTTCCTCAAATATCTAACATGTTTTGCAAACTTTTGTGGAACACCATTTTGTTATATATGAAAGCTCAGTTGACATGTCTCGAATTGCTGTATGCTTGCATGATGTTGTCTTGCGCGCGCGCAAACGCGCATGTGTTTTGCAGATAAGGTTCTGCAATAGTAAGGGGCTGTCGCGGAGCTTCATGACATATCTTGCAAGGGCCGAGTCGGGTTGCACACCGAATTGAGTTATCTGAAAAGTAGGATGGGCGCGGTGTCCCCCGCATCACATTTTTGCATTGTCGAGTGAGTGTGTTTCCCATTTTGATTCGCAAGCGGTTTTTCTTCCCCAGTGCCTGAGTTCCGTCCGAAACGTTTGGCCGCTCAAAAAGGGGGGCCCTGGGAGAACCCCCAAGGGGGGCTATTTGGACGCATCCCTATCAAGGAGGGACGCCACACCATCGTATATCCCAGGGTTGGGCCCCAAGTTTCAGGTCCATTCGAAAACCCCACGATGCCTAGGATAGGGGCCGACATGTTCCCTGTGATGGTTGTTTTGTTGTGTTGTGTGCGTGTTTTTCCCAGGTTGCTCCTTGGAGAGCTAAGGAGGCTTCAGATAAGAAGCCGGCAGGCAGAGCTACGCCAGTTCCTCTCCAAGGCTCCCGGGCAGGCATCCTAGCGGCAACCTGCTTGAACTTGCAGCGTGTCCCGAGACGCGTGTTCCTACTCGTTCCCAGTACGCGTGCCGCGCGTGCCTGCAGCCTTTCCGCAGGCCCTTCGCAGCTTCCTCGAAGCTCCTGCGAAGCTCCCTTCTCCAGTTGGCAAGCTCCCCAGGCATGCTTCCCAGCGCCTTAGCAAGCGTCTCGCAGAGGCGTTCTCTCGATTTGCAAGCTCTCCACGTGCACTGGGAACCCATGCCAAGAAACATCCTGCTTGCCTCCATGGTGCCCTGGGTTTCTCGGGTTTCGATGGCTTTGCAGTGGGAGGCGTGACTTTCCCACGCCAGGCATCAATGGACATCCTGGGGTCCCAGGGCTGGGTTTCTTGTTGAAGGCTTCTTGTGGACTGGCCTCCACTGTGTGCTGTCTGGCGTCCTTGTAAGCGTCTCCCATGAGCGTTTCACGCGCTTTGGACCGCATCGCCATCCGGGTTCTGGACGCCACAAGTATCAGCATCGTTTGACCGACCCCCATCCCCATCCCCATCCCCTTCGAGACCCCCACCAAATTACCCCCCTAGTTGGGGATTACACCCCTTGAATCCCGAGGGGAACGGCCTGTATCCCCATCTAGGGAGGGTAAATCGGCCAGTGGGGCCCAGGCCACGCCGCTGGGGATGGGGATCGGTTTAACGATATTCACAGTACAGGACGAACGGTCGAGCCCCCGCTTCCCAGCCCAGGGGATGGCCCGGGGGAAGGGCGAAGGCTCCGGGCCGACAGGATCTTCCCGCGGCCCCTCCTCGGGGAGGCCTTCGTCGCTCACGCGGCACACGCATCCAGCGCCGAACAGCGGAGGCGCCATTCTCCCTCGCCTGTCCTCCGAGGCGGGAATCTATACATGGCCACCGCCTGGGGGATCAATTCCCGGGGACCTCGGCAGGCGGCGGATATGGATCAGTTCGGGCCCCCGGGGGCTAAAATATATCCATATCCACCGCCCGCTGGGGCACCAGGACGTCGGTTCTCAGGCGGTGGATGGGGATAAATCCCCGCCTCGCATGATCAGGGCCAAGCGAACGTGTGGGATGAGGATGTCGTCAGGGGCGTCTGCTCCCCCTGCATCTGCTTCCTCTGCCTCTGCCTCCCCCTTTCCCCGCCCCCTCCCCCGCTGCAGGATCGGGGCTCGCGCCAGGGATCGGCGCCGGCGCCCGCCCTCCCTGCGAGCTCCTGCGTCGAGGCCGTCCTCGTCGAGCCGCGCAAGCTGAGGAGCATACAGCTCGCGCTGGAGACCGCCAGCCTCGTGCGCAACGACTCGGGCAAGGAGCCGGCGATCCAACGGGGAGGGAGGAGGGAGGAGGCACATGAGGACGGAGGACGAGGAACACAATTTCCTTGGGGGGGCTCCAGAGGGTTGTTCTACGATGTTAGAATGTTCTGGGTGAAGGTGAAGGAGGAGGAGGAGGATCAGGGAAGGAACAGGTACCCATGCCGCTAACCTTCCCTCGTTTTCCCCTTTTTGGGTTCTGGGAGGCACTCAGCGCCACCGCTGGATTCGCCTCGAACTCTTGGTAAGACCGCATGCCGAGAGAGGTCCGTGGAGTAGTTGTATAGGTGCCTTGTGGTCTCCCCAGAAGAGGAGGGAGGATGAGGATGGACAGGAGCCGGCGATCCAAGTCTTGACTCTGATGCACGGTAAGGACAATCTGGAGTACGTCACGCGCTTGGTGGAGGATTGTTGTCCCTCCTTCTCCTCCCTTTCCTGCTGCTGCTCCTCCTCCCTGCTCCTCCTTCCTCCTTTGGTCCAGTTAGCCATGTGCATGCGCAACTGTTGCATTCAGCGAGCTGAACGCCGCGGAACTCTTGGGGTGCACAGCTGCGACCAGACACGCAGCTCAAGGCCGAGGTGTCTTCCTCACGCTGCTGCTTCGTCCCCTGCCGTTGATCAACGCTCCGTCACCCTCCCGCTGCACCAACCAATTTCTGCCCTCCATCCCATGCATCTCCCTCCTCTGCCTTCAGTGTGCGCGCAGGAGAGCGAGCACCTGCGCGAGGACAAGCGCAGCGGGAGGCTGCGGCTGATCTGGGGAGTTTGAGGAAGAGCGCCAGTCCCGCCCTCCCCGCTTCTGCCCCTCCCCCCCCCCTCTGTACCTTTCCGCTCTCCGCCCTCATCCCTCTCCCAACCTCACCCCCACTCCCTCTCGCGCACCCCAATCCCCCCTCCCTCGTCTCCCCCTCCGGATCCTTTCTGGCAGGAGGGCGGGGTCGGCGCGCTCTTCTGCTCCCCACCGTCCCTTTGGACACCAGCGATCTGGGTGGTGATCTGGTAGAGCGAGGTCTGGCCGACAACTCGCGGTGGCACAGCCAATACAGCACCCTGTTCTATCAAGCTGCCTGCGGCAAGTCCCCACATGTCCTTGTTGGTGGGACGCTTTGTTGCTTGCTGTTTCTCCCAGTGCCCGAGGGCGCGTGACATGCGTCAAAGGGGTCGTTGGATTTCCCTCTTTCGCTGTGTGTTTTCCCCACATCCAAAGTGGGGTACTGTTTTTCTGCATGCCCCCCCGCGCAGGATCTCATCCTCCTCCCCTCTTCCTCCCCCACACACTCATACGCGCTCATCATCATAATCATAATCATCATCATCATCATCATCATCATCATCATCATCATCATCATCATCATCATCATCATCATCATCATCATCATCATCATAATCGTCATCATCAGCATCGTCATCATCCTCATCATTATCATCATCATCATGGTGCTGATGATGATGGCCATCATCATCATCAGCATCATCATCATCATCATCATCATCATCATCATCATCACCAGCGCCATCCTCATCATCATCATCACCATCATCACCATCATCACCATCATCACCATCATCATCACCATCATCATCATCATTATCATCATCATCATCATCATCAGCATCATCATCATCATCATCATCATCATCATCTCGCACACGCACACACTCGCACTCACTCGCACTCGCCCTCGCTCACACACTCACTTCTCATCTTCGCTCGTCAAAATCATTTACCATCACCATGCACACTCACATACTCACCTTGAGAGCAGTTTCGAGCGGGAGCCCCCTCCCAATGGGGCCCGCACTTCATGTTGGTAATCAGGGCGGGTCATCGGTAGCTTTTACCAGGCGTAGCACGAGAGCACCAAAAAAGAGACAAATCGTGAGAATGTCTTAAGCGGTGGCCTCGTTTGTGAGTGCATTGCGAGGACGTCTCAGGTGGGACCCCACGCCCCATGGGGCTCGCATTTCATTTGGGAAATTCCGAGTCGGTCATCAGTTTTTTTAGGCACAGCACTTGATCACCCCACGGGGGCAAACCGTGAGGATGTCTCAAACGGGGGGCCTCTTTCGTGAGTGAATTGCAAGGAAATTTGAGGCGGGAGCCCCCGCCTTGTGCAGCCCGCACTTCCTGTTGGTAATCCGAACGGGTCATCGGCAAACTTTACCAGGCACCGCACTGGAGCACCCGAGGGGGGGCAACTCGTGAGGATGTCTTGCGCGGGGGCCTCGTCAGAATTGCGAGGACGTCTCAGGCGGGACCCCCCGCCCCAGTGGGCTCGCATTTCATTGAGGTAATCCGAGCGGGTCATCGGCAAATTCTTCCAGGCCTAGCCCTTGAGCTTTCCAAGGGGGGCAAATCGTGAGGATGTCTCAAGCGGGGGCCTCGCTCGTAAGTGAACTGCAAGGAAGTCTCAGGCGGGAGCCCCCGCCCTGTGCGGCCCCGCACTTCCTGTTGGTAATCCGAGCCGGTCGTCGGCAAACTCCACCAGGCGTAACATTTGAGCACCTCAAGGGGGGCAGGTCGCAAGGGGGTGTCAAGCGGAGGCCTCGTGTGTGTGTGCGTGTAAATTGCGAGGGATTCTCAGGCAGGAGCCCCGTCAATGTGGGGCCCGCAATTCATATGGGCATTCGACGCGGGCCATCGACAAGTTCGATCAAGGATCACACTTGAGCACACCAAAGGGGGCAACTCGTGAGGACGTCCGGAGCGGGGGCCTCGTTTGTTAGTGAATTGCAAGGAAGTGTCAAGCGGCAGCCTCTTCCCTATGGGGCCCGCACTTCATGTTGGCAGTCCGAGCCGGTCATCGGCAGACTTTACCAGGCATTGCACTTGAGCACCCCAAGGGGGCAAATCGTAATGATGTGTCAGGCGGGGGCTTCGTTTGTGAGTGAATTGCGCGGAGCCCTCAGGCGGGAGCCTCCTCCCAATGGGGCCCGCATCTCATGCTGGGACTCCGAGCGGGCCATCTGCAACTTTCACCAGGCATAGCACTTGAGCACCCCACGGGGGCAGATCGTGAGGATGTGTCAATCACCGAGCGCGTTCGACTACTCGTAAAGTGACTAATCGCAAACGTCCGAAAAGCACATGTCCGCTTTGATGCAATTTATCGTAGATCCTCCTCGGAGGGTCCAGGCCATTTGCGAGTAGTTACTTTGTGAGTAGTGGATCGCGCTCGTCTAGTCAAGCGGGGGCTCCCCTCCCTGTGAGGTCCGCGCTGCGTGTTGGTAAGTTGGGCGGCATGCTTCTGCCCTCCCTATAGGGTCCCCACCTGCAGACTGGCCTCCTCCTCCTCCGCCCCCCCGCCTTCTCCTCCTCCTCCTCCTGCTCCTCCTCCTCCTTCCCCTTCCCCTCCTCCTCCTCCTCCTCCTCCTCCTCCTCCGCCTCCTCCTTCTCCTCCTCAGCCCCCCTCCTCCTCCTCCTCCTGCCTCCTCCTCCTCCTCCTCCTTCTCCTCCTTCTCCTCCTCCTTCTCCTCCTCCCCCTCCCCTACCTCCTCCTCCTCCTCCTCCCTCCTCCTCCCCCTCCTCTCCGCCTCTCCTCCTCCTTCCTCCTCCTCCTCCTCTCCTCCTCCTCTCCTCCTCCTCACTCCTCCTCCTCCTCCCCCTCCTTCTCCTCCTCCTCCTCCTCCTCCTCCTTCTCCCCCGCCTCCTTCTCGCTCCTCCCTCCTCCTCCTCCCTCCGCCTTCTCTCCCCCTCTCCACTCCTCCTCCACCGCCCCCCTCCTCTCCTCCTCCTCCTCCTCCTCCTCCTCCTCCTCCTCTTCCTCCTCCTCCTCCTCCTCCTGTCACTGTTTGTCACCCAAGCTTGAACCCGGAGGAAGTCTCGAGCGGGAGCCTCGCCAGCGAGGAAATGGCAGGAATGTCTCGAGCTGAAGCCCTCGGAAAAAGCTTCCGGAGGCCAAAGGCACTCGCAGGAGGCTGCAGGAAGCCGCATGAAGCTCCAGGAGGCCCCAGGAGGCCTCAGGAGGCCCTGGAGGCAGCAGAAGGATCCAGAGCCACCAGGAAGCCCTGGGAGGCCACAGGACTTTTCCAGGAGGCCACGGGCGCAACGGGAGGTCCCACTATAAGGGGCTTAAAGGCAGCACAGAGGCACTGTAACCCAACTACATACCAGGAGGAACGGTGGCGGATAACATGTCCTTCTGGGAGTCGCTGAAGTGCGACCACGTGCTGACGATGCAGAGCGACTCGATGCTGTGCCTCAACTCTAAGGTTCACTTGTCGGAGTTCCTACACTACGACTTCGTCGGTGCCGTTTCCTGTGGTGATGACCAAAATGTGTCGAACGGTGGTTTATCTTTGCGGAATCGGCAAATAATGATGAGATGCGTGAGGCGAGGGATCCCAGATTTGAAGATGCAAGAGGACGTGTTCTTCTCGGAAGCTTGTCAAGATGTTGCATGGGCGCCGGGTTTTGATGTGAGGGACAGGTTTGCAATCGAGCAGGGCTTCAGGCATGCAAACGTGACGCCCTTCGGCTTGCATAAGCCGTGGCACCAGGACAAGATGAAACAGTACCTGTATGTGGACCAGAACTTGGACATGTGCGAGGGTGCACGCAAGCTTGTAAGCATGCAGCACGAGTAGCAGGTCATGGGCTGTACCTGAGACGCCTCGTCACCCGTCGCCGGCACTTCAGAGCCGTTGTGCGACAGATCTGAATGTGTATATCTGTTTTTATCGAAGACGCCTACGGCGAATCACCGCCGCCCCCTGCCTTTTTGGAAACGCCGATGTGGCCGAAAGTTGGACTAGAGCTTGGCCAAGCTATCGGACCATGAGTTCCCCGAGTCGGTTTGGAAAGCTTTCGGGGAACACATGGGAGAGAATGATTATGAACAGGAAGAGGATGAGGAAGAAATAGAGTAGGAGGATGAGGGTTGTTAGGAGTCTCTTGGGGCACCCTTGGGGTCTGTTGGGGGCTTCTTGGGGGCCTCTTCGAGGCCTCTTGGAGGCATCTTGGGGGCCTCCTTGGGCCTCTTGGGGGCCTTTGGGGGCTTCCTGGGGGTCTCTTTGGCCGTCGTAGGGCGTTCCTGGTCCGTCTGACGCCGTCTGGAGCCGTCTTGGGGGTCTCTCTGGGCCGTCTTGGGGCCCTCTTGGGGCGGTTCAGGGCCGTCTTGGAGGCCATGTTGGGCGTCTTGGAGGCCTCTTGGGCCGTCTTGGGGCGCTCTTGGGGCCGTCTTGGGGGGCCCTTGGGCCGTCATAGGGCCTTCTTGGAGGCCTCTTGGGCGATCTTGGGGGCCTCTTGGGCCGTCGGAAGGCCGAAAAGAAGACAACGCAACAAACCTTGAAAAACCTAAGGAAAACCAATGATTTTGGCCTCTTCGGGCTCTCCTGGAGAACGTCTTGGAGGCCTCTTGGGCCATCTTGGGGGCATCTTGGGGCCATCTTGGCCGTCTTGGAGGGCATCTTGGGCCGTCTTGGAAGCATCTTGGAGCCATCTTACCCGTCTTGGAGGCCATCTTGGCCGTCTTGGAGGCATCTTGGAGGCCATCTTGGGCCATCTTGGCCGTCTTGGAGGCCATCTTGGGCCAAGTTGGGGCAACAAAGGCATTGACAGACGGATTTTCGGAAAATTGCGGGTGGCCGGCGGGACGGGCCGAAGCCCACTGGGGAGTTCTTTTAGAAAAAGAACCAAAACCAAAACCTGAAACGTCCAGCACGCCGTGCACCCCTGTGGCAAGACCACAGGGGGCGGCGGATTGGCCTTCGGCCCATCCCGCCACCGTGCTTGGATTGTGGGTCAGAGTCCTCATGGGTGGTTATTGGGATCTCTTCGGAGCGCTCTCGGGGGTCTCTGGGAGGGCAGTTTGGCGGCCTCTTGGGAGCCGCTGGAGGGCCTCTTGGGAGCCTCTTCGGGTTTCCTGGGGGCTCTTCGGGTTTCCTAGGGGCCTCTCAGGGGCCTCTTGGGGCCTTTTGGGGGCTTCTTGGGGGCCTCTCGGGACCTCCTGGGACCTGTCGGGGCTGAGAGCTCAAAATGTCCGTTCGGGTCCCCCGTCTGGGCCCCACTTTGGAGACATCTTGGGGGCCTCCTGGTCCAATTTGGAGGCCTCTGGGGCCGACTTGGGGTCCTCTTGGGCCGTTTTGGGGCCCTTTTGGAGGCCTCCTCGGCTGTCCTTGGGCGGTATTGGAAGCCTCTTGGGCTTTCCTGAGGCGTCGGGAAGCCGACCGAAAATACGGCGAGAACGCCACAATCATTCACAGCGCTTCGGGAAAACACTGATTTTTGTTTCTTGCGGCCTTCTTGGCAGTGCTCTTGGAGGCCTCTTGGGGCACCTTCGAAGCCTCTTGGGCCGTCTGGATGCCATCTTGGGCATCTTGGAGCGATCTTTCGGCGATTATGGGCTGCCTCCCAGAGCTTTCTTGGCCCGTTTTGGGGGCCCTCCTGAGCGAGGGGGCCGTCCCAGAGGCTCACGCCAGACACCCTGGAAGCGCCGTAGCGCCCGAGAGCGCCCGGGAAACCGGGGGGCCGGGCCCTTGAGAGCCTTACAGGCTCTCTATTTTTCAGGGCTGCACGAGCCTGAAGTCGGGCGTGTCCCTCTACAGGAGGCATAGTCGAGAATGGTTGAGACATAGTCTTGGCATGACTTTCCGTGTTCTGTGGATTACTTTTGAAATTGTTTCGTCAATTCTATTTGAAAGGCCCAGCGGCTGGTGCCGCCGACCCTGAAGGGGGACGGCAGCGACGACGGCGGCGGCGGCAGCGGAGACGACGACGATGCTGACGCTCTGGAGCCTTTCGTGGGGCTCTCTTGGGGGCCTCTTGCGCTCGGTTGGGGCTTGGGCTGGGGCCGCGGCTGGGGCCGGAGCCAGGGCAAGGGCTGGGGCCGAGGCCGAGGCTGGGGCCACGGCCGGGGCTGGGGCCGGGGGCTGGGGGCCAGGGCTGGGGCCGGGGCGCCAGGGCCGGGACCCGAGCTGCGGCCCCCTGAGCTGGGCCGTGTCCGGGTCCGGGGCCGGGGCCAGAGCGGGGGTTTGGGCCGGGGCCGGAGCGGGGGCGCGGGGTGAAAACGTAGTATATTTGGCTGGCGACCCCCCTGGGACACCCGCGGGACTCCCCCGGGACCCTCCTGGGACCCCCCCGGACCCCCCCCCCCCTTGGGACCCCTACGGGGACCCCCCCCACTGGCGCGGGGAAGGGATCAAAGGGAAGGGGCTTCTTTTCGATTCCTCTCCGATGTTTTTCAATTTTGCTTTGGACTGAGGAAGAGGGTCCAGGCAAATGGAACAGAGGACGGCGACGACGGCTCCAACGGAAAAGCCCGCCTCGAACGGAAAAGCTCCTCTCGACACGAAGGAAATGGGTACGGAAAGAACGGGTACGATGCCCAACAGCAGTTCCTGTTCATTTTGAACAGGACTCGATGTCCGCGCCGCCGCGGCCTGTGTCCATTTGAAACAGAAGGCCGCCTGCCCTACAGCGGCCGCTGCTGGTTTGGGACAACATTTGTTGTTGGGCATTGTGCCCATTTTGTCGGTACACATTTCGGGTGTCCAAACCCTCACACACGCCGACAGGGTCTGCCAGAGGCACGGTGCCGGATGTGGGAGCGGCCGTGCTCGGGCACACCCGCTGCCGCACCCAAAGAAGGGGGCTGCGTAGACCGCCCGCGGCTCCTCCGCTCGCCGACCGGCTGGCGACCCATGGGGGGGGGACGCGTTGGCTGCTCGTCCGGCTGTCTCTCTCTCTCTCTCTCTCTCTCTACACCCAGCCTCCCTCGCTGACCATGGACCCTTGCACATCCTCCTCCTTCTCCTCCTCCTCCTCCTCCTCCTCCTGTTCCTCCTCCTCCTCCTCCTCCCTCCTCCCTCCTCCCTCCTCCCTCCTCCCTTCTCCCTCCTCCCTCTTCCTCCTCCTCCTCCTCCTCCTCCTCCTCCTCCTCCTCCTCTTGGACACCTTGCACCAGCCTCCCTCGCTCCCTCCCAGCCATGGCCCATCCGTGGACCCGCCCTCGCTGACCAGGGGCGTCACAGATCGTGCGCACCGCGGGGCATCCGGGCTCCATGGGACGGTCCCGCTCCCGCAGCGCGTCCTCGGGCACATCGGGAGGGCCACGAGGGGACCCCGTGGCGGGTCGAAGTCGCGGTGGTCGGAGTTCTAATAATCGATGCGGGCCCAGACCCGACTGAAGCATGTGCTGTGTCCGACAGGACGAAGTGGTTTTGCAAACTGTTGCACCCCAGTGTGAAACGTACACTTCGCGCCAGGCGAGGCTGAAGGATGGAGGACAGGCGGGCGGTGAGAACTTAAGATGAACAGCAGTAGAGGACGAACGACGAGGATTAGGAACAAGAGGGGGGAACAAGGACTTGGAGGACGAAGAAGGAAGAAGAGGAGGAGGAGGAGGAGGAGGAGGAGCAGTAGGAGGATGGCCAATTTCGGCACGCCCATCACGAGCTTCGTGGCCCCAGAGGGAAGCCCCAGTAGGAAAGTCCACATCGCGTACGCGCACCCAAATCAGCACCTTCAGACACGGATCGTGCCCTTAGAGAGCTCACCCCAAGGCCCCGGAGGGAACGTCCACATCGCGCACCCGCACCCAAGTCAGCACACCCACATGCACGGTTCTTGCATCTCAGGGGGCGCCATGCCTATGCATGGCGTAACCGCACCAATTCGGCACGCCATGCACGAGTATTGCACCCCTCTGCGTGAATCTCCATAAGGGCTCCAGTGGATGGGTTCACATGCGTCCCCCCACACATGATGGCGCCCCTCCCCCACACGGATGCCTCCATACATCAGACACATACAGTAGACACATCAAGTAAGACGTTGGTTTGCCAGCAGGTGCCCCCCCCCACCACGGAAATGCCGTATCCCTCGATGGCCCCAGGAGCCCACATACACACGTTGGGGCACCCTAGGACCTTCAACGACCGACGAATCATGAGCCCCACACTCTCTTACCTATATGACCAGCCTTCGGGTGACAAGGAGGTTCGCAGGGAGGAACCACTGTCTCACTCAATCGATGCCACTATCGACCTCACTATCGAATTTACAATCGACTTCGTTATCGATGCCACCATCGATCTCACAATCGATGTCACTATCGATCCTGCCATATATCCCACTACCCCTCACACTATTAATCTCACAATCGATCTCATTACCGATCTCACAATCGGTCTCACTATTAATCTCACAATCGATCCCACTATCGATCTTTCACGATCCATCTCACTATCGATATCACTGTCGATCTTACTATCGACCTCACGGGACACCACGGGGCACCGCGCAACAGGGACGCCACGGGCCACCGCGGGCCACCGCGGGACACCACGGGACACCACGGGACACTATCGGGACACCACGGCGGGACAGCCACGGCCACAGCCGCCCAAGCTGGGGAGGACGGTCTCTTTGCCCCGCGGCGCCCTGGCCAGATGAGAGTTCCTTGTCTCTCGCCCGCCCGCGCAGCCTCGCCTGGCCCGCACGCAGGACACGAGCACGAACACGACACCGAAACCGATTTCCTGGTGGGGGGCTCTCCGATTCACTGCGATCTCACCCCCCCCAACTCCGATAGCAATATGTCGTGTCGTATGTGTATGTATGGGTAGCTCCACTGATATAGCATGAAAGTCGGCATGGCGTATCCGCGCAAATTTCGGGGCACCCCTCACAAAAATCGTGGTCCCAGGGGGAGTTTCATCTGCGGCCCCAGTGGTAAAGTCTGCATGGCATACCAGCGCCCGTTTCGCGAACCCCTCACGCGCTTCGGTGTGAAAGTTTGCACGCGTATCCTCGCCAATGTCTGCGCATCCCTCACACGTTTCTCTTGGGGAGCTTCACCTACGGTCCCAGTGGGACAGATTGCATCCGTATTCCCTCCGATCTTGGGGTACCCCTCAGACAGGGAGTTCCACCTACGGCCCCAGTGGGACACTTTACATGCGCCCTCCGCATATTTCGGCGCACCCTCACGCGATTGGTGCCCCTCTCAGGAACTCCACTTTCCGACGGCTCAAGTTGGACAGCTTGCATGTGTCCACCGGCGTGCCTTTCACGCGGATCGTGCCGTCGAGGGAACCCACATACGGCCCAAGTGGTAGGGTTCGCATGGCTCCAGTTGTCAAGTTCGGCGCAGCGAGCTCCGCATACGGCCCGAGTGAGAGGGTTTGCATGCGATCCCTATTTCGGCGGACCCCTCAAACGGATCATGCCCCATAATGACCTGCGGCTCCAGTGGTAAGGTTTTCGTGCGTCCCTCTGCTAATATCGGCATGCATCTGACACCGATCGTGTCTCGCGGGGGGGTCCACCTCAGTTCCAGAGGTGGCGTTCTATGGTGGCCATCCCCACAGCTTGGCATCGTCGCCAACGCTACATAAAGCCTTCCTGTGCCAGGCCAGGCTTGGACGACTGCGTGCGGCGCCAAGGCGAGACTCCCAGGTTGACAACAATGTCTGCCCATCCGTGTAATTGTTGGATGTTGCCCAACCGTCAGAGGCTGACTTGAGTCCTCGTTTTGAATCCGCAGCGCCGCGCGTCTCCACCTCCTCCCCCTCCTCTTTTCTCCGCGCTCCGTATGTTCATCCCAGGACACCTCTCACACGTTTCGTTGCCCATAAGGAGCCGCCCCGCTGAAGGCCCCAGTGGTACATTTCACATGGCGTGCCCGCCCCCAATTCGGCACACAACTCACACGCTTCGTGGTCTCATCTGGAGCTCTACCACAATCCAGCATTCCCCTGACACGAATCGTGCCCCGTAGGAAGCTCCACTTATTGCCCAAGTCGCACAGCTCGCATGGCGTAGCCGCCCCAGATTTGGCACATGTTCCGTGGCCCAGTATGGAGTGCCACCTACGGCCCCCGTGGCGCTCGCATCGCGCTTCGCGCCCATCTCGGCACGCCCTTCGTGCGTATCGTGGCTCCAAGGGAGCTTCGCCCAGGCCCCAGTGGCACAGCTCGCATGGCGTACTCCCTCTCAAACTGTTCCGTGCCCCCCCTTTCTAGGGGCGGGCGCGCCCGCTCGGGCCTCCCGGTGCCCTCCTGACAGAGGGCATCAGTGGGTAGTTCATGGGCGTCGCGCTCCAGCGGTGGCGATGGTTTCGTTCACTGTGAGTGCCTGGCGCAAGCGCCAGGAGGAGGAGGAGGAGGAGGAGGAGGAGGAGGAGGAGGAAGAGGAGGAAGTAGGGGAGGAGAAGAGGAGGAGGAGGAGGGAGGTAGGAGTAGGAGGAGGAGGAGGATGAAAGAGGAGAGAGGAAGGAGGAGGAGGAGGAGGAGGAGGAGGAGGAGGAAGATGGCGAGAGGGATAGGGAGGAGGGAGGAGGATGGTAGGAGGGAGGAGGAGGAGGGAGGAGGTGGGAGGAGGAGGGAAGGAGGGGGAGGAGGAGGAGGTGGAGGGAGGAGGATGTAGGAAAGAGGGAAGGAGGAGAGGAAGGGGGAGGCGGGAGGAGGGAGGAGGGAGGAGGGAGGAGGGAGGAGGGAGGAGGGAGAGGGCGGAGTAGGGAGTAGGGAGGAGGGAAGAGGGAAAGGGAGGAGGAAGACGGAGAAGGAGGAAGGGGGAGGGAGTAGGGAGGAGGGAGGAGGGAGGGAGGAAAACAGCGCGGGTGGCAATTGACGCCATCATGGGTAGTTGTAAAGTTGTGGGGCTGCGTTGGACCCTCCTCCAGGGACGTCTTTGTTGGCCGAGGGTCCCTAGAGGAGTCCTCGGCCCCCTCCGGTGGCTATTGACGTCTTCATGTAAAGGTGCGGGGGGGGGACCCACGCAGCCCCTCTGATGGAAACTGCGCGGGGTGTGAGGCCTATTGACAGTCCTCACGGGTGAGGCCTGACGACGGTCCTCACCTAGCGGGGGGGCGAGAGGGAGGGGGCGCGCGCGCTTCTCGGCGAGGTGGCTCCTGCTGATGGTCCTGAGGCGGGATTCCTGAAAAAGGGACCCCAAACTGCATACACGGCTTCGACTCCGAAACATAGTATGCCTTGCGCACTCGGGGAAGGGAAGGAGGGGGGAGGGGGAGGGAATTGTCCGTCCCCGCTGCTGGATTCACCTGCAGGGAAGGGGAAAGCGGTACGCAGCAACTGATGGTCGAGAACGCACACTTGAATGCCCGGCAGGGTGTAAATTTGTACCGAGCGCCAGGGGAACCTCATTTTGTTAATTGAAGTCCAGGCCGGAAATGAACAAGAGTAGCCATGGTCGGTGGCGGCCAGGCGGCGGAGGCGGCGTGTCCTGACAGGGGCGCTCTTGGGCCTGAGGCTGGCTCGAAAAC